ACACATATATAGTCAGACATGTATATGGACTGATGCTTCAATCAGACCTGACAGTTTTGTTTTAAAGTATTGTATAACTTCATGTTTTCCATTGTTCATCCTTTAAGCCTAGTTTTAGTTATTAAAAAAAAAGTAAAAAGGCATAGAGTGCCATTAATTGAAGAAAGACCTTTCTATTCTGGATTAAATTTACTTACTAATCTCCCTTAACCAGAAAGCAACAAATTTATGAAAGTGATAGGAAAAAATACTTCATTATACATGGTTTTTAGAAAACTCACTAGTGTCTATTACTATCAAGCACCTGAGAGGGGAAAGAAAGAAATAAAACAAGAACTATATAAAGAATTAAGTTCAGCCAGGAATCGGTGGCTCATGCTTGCAATCCTAGCTACTCAGGAGGCTGAGATCTGAGGATCTCGGTTCAAAGCCAGTCCAAGCAAGGAAGTCTGTGAGACTCTTACCTCTAATAAACCACCAGAAAACCGGAAGTGGCACTGGAGCTCAAGTGGCAGAGCGCTAGCCTTGAGCTGAAGAGCTTAGGGACAGCGCCCAGGCCTAGAATTCAAGCCCAGGACCAACAACAACAAAAAAGGATTAAGTTCAAAGTGTGTTGTGGAGCTGCCTTAGGACTCCAGCTCTTTCATGAGCATTTTTGAATCTCTATCGAAATCAACACGTACAACAAAGAAGGTAAAGACTAATCAAAACATGCTTTTTCCAGGTGCTGTGGTAGAAAAGTGGGCAATACAGCAAGCAGCTTGGCAAGTGCTGTGGGCAGGTCCCCCCTTAGCACTTTTCAGAGTTCTTTCCAACAAATTAGCTCTCCAAATCACAACATCTCACATATTGTGACCAGAAGGCACAAGACCCTTTTCTGAACAGAGAATACTTTTCTGATCGTTCTCAACATTGTTGTCAACTATAGAAAAAATAGAAAAATGTATTTGATTACAATTACTACTTAGGATAAGCAATTCTTTAGAATCATATGATCCACAGACATCCAGTTACCTGCAACACTGTCTCAATTATACAGGTACCTGTGACAATGCACTTCTTCTATTACACTCTGTAGTATACTACCTGTTAATAGATAAGAACATACTAAACAGTACCTCATAGTTACTGTACTATCATGAACACACCCTTGTAATCCCACACATTTCCAGGTTAACCTCCAAGCATGTAAGAAAAGCCTTTCCTTTTCTTTGTAAAACATAAGCACAATCTGCCGATAATGTCCAACAGGAGCAGCCTTTCCCAAGAGAATCAAGGCAATAAACTCAAAGCAAATGTTGTGTTTGAGATACCTAGGAAAGTACCAAAAACTGTCTTAGCTGAGAGACCCAAAGGTTTTTGGCATATAACAGAAAGAGCTTAAGGAATTGAATGATCTTTCTTATTGGAACTCCTTCCTTGTCTATTTAAATAAATAAATAAATAGTGTTTACATCTATAGAAAGAGGCAGAAAACTACAGCTGAACCCTATTTTACTCCAAAAACACATACATTTATCCTGAGGAGATATGGACAAATTGGATTAATTGAGAAAAAAAGTTCTATTCATCTCATTAATTTCTCAGAAGTAGAAATGTGGCTCAAGTGGTACAGTACTAACCTTGAGTGAAAAAGCCAAGCAAGAGTGCCAGGCCCTGGGTTCAATCTCCCATACTAGCACAAAAAAAAAGTTAAAAAAAAAAGAGGGAGATGTATTTTTAATAAATACTTGCTTTTTATGTCTAAAATTTATGATAATGTATAATACTTTTCTTTTTCTAATTAATTACTTGGTAACAATCACACCTAGACTCAACAATTGGTGTGTTCAGATTTCAAGATACCAAAATTTAAAAGCTGTTTATATGAATGACATTTTATGCATAAATATATGCATAAATAGTAAAAATTTAAGATAAAATTTTATGGAGAAACTAGAATAGAAATAAAAGTTTAAGAACCAAAAGGAATAAAGTTTCAACCAGTGAGGCCCACTTACATTATTTCTAATACCGTATAATCTACAGAGTTTTCACATATTCTGTTTTGGTCCTATGACAATCCTGAAAGTTGGGGAAAAAGATAGTTTTTCTCAATTTACAGCTAAGTGTATTGCTATGGTCCATGTTACACCCAAGGGTTCATGTGTTAGGAGTGTGGTCCTCAGAATGGCAGTAATAGGAGATGATGCAGAAGCTTTAAAGCTAGTGGACGCTGCCCTGGGAAGGAATTGCTATAGTTCTCCTGAAGCCTTTATTAGTTCTCTCAAGAGGTTGTTACAAAAGAGCAAGCTTGACTCCTCCCAGGCTCTTCCACTTCCTGTCTTGCATGTGATGCTGCCTTTCCTGCCCTTATGATGCCATCTACCAAAAGGTACTCACCAGGGCTGAGCCGATTAGCAGCACTGTGCCCTTCAATCTCTAAGACTGTGAGTAAAATAAACCTCTTTTTTAAATTTATTATGCACCTTCAGGTATTTTACTATAGTAAAAGTGAACACACACACACACACTTCAGAAAACTAAATGATTTGACCATTCATTAACAAGAGATATCGAACCTAAATCTTTGTTTTGACTACAAAGGTAGCTAGCTATCTGTTCCACACCATCACATCCCATTTATAATAGCTTTTGAAAACCTCACATTAATTTCAAATTCGCCAATTTGTGTGTGATTCAATTCTCAGCCTACGGTTCATAGATCTCACTATCCCTCTCCCATAATAAAGAATTCAATACACACATCTGGAGAAGCATATGTTGCTCTAATTACAAAGAAATCCTCATCATGGGCAGCAGAAGATGGATGATATTATTACTAAGGAAAAGTAATAGTGTTTGAGGCCTAATACAAAGAACCCAAACAATAAAGCTTTACGTTACCATCTAACAAGCAAGAATAAAATTCTTCCTCGTCTATCCATGAGTATTAGTTCCTGTTGTAACAAACTGCCATAAACTTAATGGCATCAAAGAACAAAAATTTATTATCTTACACTTAATAGAGGTCTGAGTCTAAATCAAAACATAGGCAGGGCTGCCCTTCTAAAGGATCTCAGGGAAAATCAATTCCCTTGCTCTTTCCAGTTTCCAGAGGGCTGCCTACATTCCTTGGCTCAAAGGCCTCCTTGCAGTAATTGCACCACTTTAACCTCTTCTTCCACTGTCACATTTTCTGACTCTCCAGACTTCCCCTTTCACATACAAGGACACTTGTGTTTTCACTCTAAATCTTTCCAGGAAAATTTGGCAAACTGGATAAGATCAAGAAACTGTATTTTTCTCTGCTAGGATAAGTATTATTTATAAAATGAGTGTAATTTAAGGTATCTACTAGAACCTTCAATTTAATCTTTCAGTATGTATTTATAGTTATGCTATAGTGACCTGAGACCTACATGTGATAGAATTCAATCAACTTGTCAATATGTATCTGTTCCTTTTCTTTGAAATGTGCATTCATGACTATTTCTGTCTACGGAAGCACTACCTAATACTCCCAATTTTTACTTTTTCATTTGTTTTCTGGTGAAATCTTCCTGGGAGATAACGTTATAGAGCTAGCTCAAGAAAAATCATAAGTACACTATCAACATCTTTCTTCTTTCCTGCCTCTTCTCATCTTAGGACATGTCTTAGGCCAGAGCACAAAGACACCACTCAGAAAATATATTTCTCATTGAACGAACCTCAGATGACCCAGAGGATATAAGCACTGATGAAGGAAGAAGAGGAAATATGTATTGCAACAGCAGCTGCACAGAATAAAAAAATAAAAGGCTAAGGGTATTACCTTAAAATATGGTATTTCTAAGGTAAATATAGGAGTATTTTGTATGATAAGGCTGTGAATGTCTGAGGTTAAGGGATTTCTCAGGCTAAATCAAAAGTCTCATTAAAAAATGTCCTTTCCATTCCTCAAAATCATCAGCTTCCAAGTCTTTTAAGTATTATGAATTTTTTAGTATCTCTACCATTAGAACAGATAGAAAAATTTTCAAGACACCCTATAAACAACTAATGTCAGAACCCAAAGATCACCTGTACTCCACTTCCTCCATCAGGCTCAGGAACAAAAACTCCTACTTGTTTTTATTTTTAACAGCTCAAACTATTTTTTAAACTTAAGTGGTGCTTTTATTTTTATTTTTTTACTTTATACTTATTTCTTTTTTTAACCATTTTCTTTCTCTTTTTTTTGGGGGGGGGTCCGGTCATGGGGCCTGAACTCTGGGCCTGGGCACTGTCTCTCAACTCTTCAGCTCAAGGCTAGCGCTCTACCACTTGAGCCACAGCGCCACTTCCGGCTTTTTTCTTATGTGGTGCTGAGGAATCGAACCCAGGGCCTCAGGCATGCAAGGCAAGCGCTCTACCACTGAGCCACCTTCCCAGCACCACCATTTTCTTTCTTAAAAGGTAATCAGGTAGCCAGGTACTAGTGGCTCACGCCTGTAATCCTAGTACTCAGGAGGCTGAGATCTGAAGATCACGGTTTAAAGCCAATCTGGGCAAGAAAGTCCATGAGACTCTTACCTCCAGTTAACTACCAAAAATCCAGAAGTGGAGCTACGGCACAAAGTAGTAGAGTACTAGCCTTGAGCACAAAAGCTCAAAGACAGCACCCAGGCCCTGAGTTCAAGCCCCATGACCACCATCAACAATAACAACAAAAAAGGTAATCGTCTAACCACCTTCTTCCTGACACATTTGGCAACGTGTTCAGTCCTCCTAACATCACAAATGGAAAGTCGCTTACAAAAATAGAAGCTAGATACCTTCTACAAAGGGGACATCATACAAGAAACTGTGAATCCATCAACTCTACAGACTTGTAAGCAGGAGGGAAGGAGAAAAATAGAGCACAAAAAAGAGGTTTGAGGTTTTCAGTCATTTTCAGTTATAAAGAATCTAACCACCTAGAACCACATCCAGAAAGCCCAGAGATAAAGAGTGTAATTTATAACCAGAAAAATGTAATATAAAATCACTGGACTCACCGTCTGATGGCTTCTGTCACAGTAACGCAGCCCAAAATAATCTATCTCCATGAGATTTATGTGACGGAATACATGGTCAAGGACAACGGAACCTTTCGTTGACTTCTGCAAAAATAATTCACAGTTGTTGGTTGTTGTTGTTGTTGTTTTTTAATTTAACAAGTGTCTTGTCTTTCTCAGTGAGCCACATCACAGGGCTTGTGTTTTATTAGTTTCTCTCACAATGGACAGAATTTTATTTTACCATGGTATTCTCTGTAGGTTTTTGCCTCAGTTCCAAAGACAAATGTGGTTTAAAGCACAGAGTATTAAAGAAATTGCTTTAGTAAAATAATCTTAAATTACAGTGAGTGTTAATGTAAGCTTCTTTTCTTAAGGGATTACATATTATCTTCGGGACAGAATTCTTCTTCAAATAGAGATAATCCTTTTATATGAAGAATATCTACCAAATTAATCAAATACTGCTGTTGTTAAAAGTCCCACAGTTTTTCCATTTTTAGAAAGCAATTTTCATCTATAACATTATTCTTAGAAGTATCTAATATAGAATATATACAAAATTTAAAGAATACTAGACAAAGCTTTAATTTTCTCAAATAATAAATGCATAGATTAGACTGCTTCCGTTTATGTTCTGAAAAGCCCTTGTATGGATATTTCACTTGATCTCTTTCACCTAACTAGAGACACAAACAAAAAGCTGACGTCTACTTAAAAAGTCAATCTCTTTTCTCCCCTTTCTCACTATGTACACAATTCCTTAAGACTCTTGCAGATGGGTCCCAATAGCTGGTACCTGCAATCCTAGCTAGCTACTCAAAAGGCCAAACCTGGAGGATCAAGGTTTGAAGCCAGCATTGCAGAAAAATCTACCTCAATCAGCAAAAAGCTGGGCTGAAGGCATGGCTCAAGTGGCAGAGCAATAGTCATGAGCAAGCAAACTGAATTATCTTGACACCCTGAGTTCAAGCCTAGGTATTGTCAAAAGAATGAGGCCAGGCGTCAGTGGCTCACGCCTATAATCCTAGCTACTCAGGAGGCTGAGATCTGAGGATCGAGGTTCAAAGTCAGGCCCAGCAGGAAAGTCCGTGAGACTCTTATCTTTAATAAACCACCAGAAAACTGGAAGTGGTGCTGTGGCTCAAGTGGTAGAGCCTTAGTCTTGAGCTGAAGAGCTGAGGGTCAGCGCCCAGGCCCAGAGTTCAAGCCCCATGATTGCCAAGAAAAAAAAAAAGAATGAGAAAAAAGAGAGAGAGAAAGGGAGGGTGGGAGGGAAAAGACTCATGCATACTCACAACTCTGGGATGATCCCACAACCATATAGGAAAAAATATTTTTTATCATATGATACCTTAAGCAATAATTATTCCCACATATAAGCAACAGTCAAATATGTATCTACAAGTTTGTACTTAAAGTACATACCAAACTGACCTTGAAAGTGATACATTTCAATGGTGTGACTACAGAACAAATCAGACCTTCCCTTTCTTTTTTCCCATTACTGTCAGCTGTAAACAGGTAGCACAAGTCCCCAAATCATGCATTGTAGCAAGACAACAAAGGCTTTTGTTCCATTGTATCTTTCCATACAGAATTACCATTATTACATGCTTACATATATAGGGGAGCACTCCATACTACACTGCTTATAGAAAATAGATTGTTAACCTAAGGGAAATGCTTTAATTAAATGTATTATAAAATGGTTGATATACAATGATAGACGATCACACCTGCAAAAGATAGTTTTGTTACAAATCCCATAAGTATTTTCTTTTCCTTAAAGTCATGATTAAATTTAATTCCCTTTTCAAGATTGCTGAACATGGGCTGGGAAGGTGGCTCAGTGGTCGAGTGCTTACCTTGCATGCATAAGGCCCTGGGTTCCATTCCGCAGCACCACATAAACAGAAAAAGCTGGAAGTGGCACTGTGGCTCAATGCTGAGGGGCAGTGCCCAAGCCCAGAGTTCAAGCCCCATGACCAATAAAAAAAAAAAAAAAAAAGATTGCTTAACAACTTACTGAAAAACAAAAAAGGCCTTCCATGATGGACTGGATATTTTCTGCTATCGTTACAAAAGTCTCATCCAGTCAATGTCTCTTTTTAAAATATTTTTATTGTCATGATAAAGGTGATGTACAGAGGGGTTACAGTTACATAAGTCAGGTAAAGAGTCCTTTTCCTTTTGGACAATGTCACCCCTTCCCTCACTCTCCCTCAGTTTTTCCTCCCATCCCCACCAACAAGTTGTATAGTACATTTTCAACATAGTAGTCAAGGTCTCTTTGTGCTCTGTCCCTGTGTATTTCTCCGAGGTAAAAATATGGGTATGAAGTCACTCACTGGAAGAACACGTGCTTAAAATTACACTGGGCACTACCAAAAGGACCATCACAATTCATTCACAGGACTCCATCCTCCTGTCCCTGGCAAAGAAACACTTGGAATGAGGGACAAAGGGGAAGGGGACTTTTTTTTTTCTTAACTATAACAAAAGCAATGCTCTTTTATGTGCTTACTAGCTAGCCAACTGCATGTCCCAGCATGTGACCTAAGCATTCCCTAACCCAAAGTTTATGAGCAAATGCTCCTGCCTCTTTTGATAACTTACACAATTTTGTTTAGTATATTTAACTGCATTTCATTTAGAAAGTATTTTCGTGTTTGGGATAAAGGCCTAACTTTATTTCCTTATGAATACAAAACTGTGCCACCATTTTCTGACAAGACCATCATTTCTGTTTGGTTCAAACAACTTTATTATTTACTAATTACCCAATTTACCCCCCATATTTTAATAAATTTACTTCAATATTTTGTGTTTAATAACAATTTTCACAATTATATTTGTCAGTTCTTAGAAATTTTTCTCAAAGAAACTTTTAGAGACAGCTTGCCAGTTTAATAAACAGTTCTATTGGGAATTTGGAATTTAATTGGATTGGCAGATGGGATGACTAGTAGGGGATGGGAACACTACAATATTACCAAGTAAAATCTATGCAGCTTTTTCTTCTATGTTCCAAAGGAATTTTATGCTTTTTTATGTAGCTCTTTTCAAATTCCAATTAGATTTTATAACAGGCAAAATTTATAAAATTCCCTTTCTTGACTAAAGCTGTCCAGTTATCATCTCTGGAACCTGTGGCTATGATGAAATATCACCTCAGTGGTAGTATTATGTTAGATGGCACAATGACCTTATGATAGGAAGGTTATCAGAATAAGCCTAATCAAATCACAAGGGCTCCAAAACTCAAAGCATTTTCTACAGTAGAATAGTTAGATAGGAAAAAAAAAATCAAAGACATTTAAAGCTTAAGAAGTTTTCCATATGTCCATGCCACTGGAAAGAAGGAGGGATCATCTGAAAAGCAATGTGAGCAGCCAGACAACGCAAGCAGCAATGTGAGCACAGCTGACAGCCAGAGAGGAAAAGAAAATTCAGTCCCAGATCACAAAAATGGAATTATGCTAACCACCTGAAAAAGATTGGGAGCAGATATTTTCCCCCAGACTGGTCAGATAAGAGACAAGTAAATTTACATCTTAATTTAGGTGGTCCCTCCCTAAGAAGAGAACCCAGGGAAATGGTGCTGTGGCTCAAGTGGTAGAAAGCTCGCCTTGAGCTGTAAGAACTCAGAAACAGAGCCAGGCCCACAGTTCAAGCCCCATGACGAAGGAAGGAAGGAAGGAAGGAAGGAGGGAGGGAGGGAGGGAGGAAGGGAGGGAGGG